TGTACTCTATTCGTTAACATCTTACCTGTATATATATATATATATATATATATATATATATATTATATATATGTAAACTGCTATTTTTGGGATGTTAGATGTATCGACCATCATAAAGACTGAAAATAAAATTGACAAAAAGATTTTTAAGGTTGATGGACACGCATGTCAAATTAGTTTTTTTTTCAAACAAAATTGGTCAAACCCAATTTTAAAACAAAAACATTGTTTTCAATCGTTATAAGTCTACCGATTGAATAGAATTTTATTATAAACAATTATCTTGTAAATGGAATTTTTTAAAGCATACTGAATGTAAAAAAAAAAAAAAAGTGTGCAAGACAATAAGAAACACTACCTGCCAAAAAAAAAGTGAAGTTTTGTTGAAATCGGTTGAAAATGTAGGAAATCCGATCCCATATATAAACGAACACACACACACACACACACAACCTGGGTTTTATAATAAGTATAACTCGATATGAGTTGTCCCCCTTTCATTCTGGCGACAGTGATGCCTCTTAATCGTGTTTTCAAATTGATTTCGTGCAAAAGCAATTGTGCTTTTCCAATTTTGGGCTCTGTCAGAACCACCGCAAGGTAATTTTACGTAGTCCTGTGAAGTTTTGTTGAAATCGGTTGAAAAATGTAGGAAATCCGATCCAATATATAAACGAACAGACACACACACACACAACCTGGGCATTGAAGTCAACACCCAGAGGCGACAGTGTGTTTCATCCTTAAACGTAATCGTCAGGTCATAATGCGTTTAAGCATGAAGCAGACTGTTGCCGCTTGGTGTTGACTTCAATGTCCATTTTTATATTTGCTATACGCTCTATCCCAGATATTGAGCACTTTAAGCCATAAATACAGCATACATTAAACCTATATTTATGATTTTCCCGCAAATTTCTATTCATCTTTCTCTGTTTCTTTCTCCCTTTCCTTTTACTACTCTCCCTTTCTGTCGCAGAGCCTTTTATTCCCCTGCTCGCTCACCCTACCGCTGAGCTTTTTACTCTCCTGCTCTCTCTCTCTCTCTCTTTCTCTCTACCGCTGAATCTTTTACAGCCCTCCTCTCTCACTCTCTCCCAAAAATAAGAGCCTCTTACTCCCCCCCTGCTCTCTCTCTCCCCTCCCTACTACTTCGTTTTTAGTCCTTCTCTCTTTTAAAATAAATTGAGCCTTTTATTCCCCTGCTCTCTCTCCTTGCCGCTGAAAAAAAAGATCCCCCCCTCTCTCTCCCTAAATGAGCCTTTTAGTCCCCCCTTCTCTCTTTCCAGTTGATGAGTCTTTTACTCCCCCTCTCCCGTTAATTGCTGAAGAGCCTTTTATAAAAATGTTCTCTCAAAAAAAACTTTTGAACCTTTCACTTTTCTCTCTCTCTCTCTCTTTTTATAAAATCAAGCCTCTTAATTCCCTCCTTTCTCTCCTTACCACTTAATTTTTTACACCTATCATTTATCATTTAAAAGTTTATGTGGAGCATTTTTGTATACAGAGAAATGAGTTCGATCCACAGCTGATCCATGTAAATATCTCCTTCCCATTGTAGAGCGATGGACAGCAATACACTAAATTTGTATGCGTGCGTGTGTATATATAAATAAAAAAATACGTATGTGCAGCTTTATTCATCTGAAATTTTAATTCTAATATCATATACTCAAGCACCTGTTGGAAACACGTGAAATATAATGAGGGTTTTTATGTGGATTTTAAGAAAGAAAGAAAAAAGAAAGAAAGAAAGAAAAAAAAAGAAAGAAAAAGAAATCAAAATAAAAAGAAATGAAATAAATAAAATATGAAAGTAAAATAAAAAAAAAGAAAAAAAGGAAGAAAGAGAATATGTACAGTAAAAGAAAGAAAGAAAGAAAGAAAGAAAGAAGGAAAATATGTAAAATACTTGAAAGAATGAAAGGGAATATGTAAAATAAAAGAAAGAAAGAAAGAAAGAAAAAGAAAAAAAAAAATAATTACAATAAAAAAAGAAAAAAGAAAAGAAGAAAGAAGAAGAGAATGAAGAATAGTACAAAGAAAGAAAAGAAAAAGAAAGAAAAAAAAGAAAGAGAATATGTACCATACAAGAAAGAAAGAAAGAAAGAAAGAAAGAAAGAAAGAAAGAAAAGATAAAAGGGAAAAAGAAAAGAAATACATAAATAAAGGGAAGACATAAATAAAAAGATAAGAGCAAAAAGAGAAAGAAGAACCCCCAAGTTATAAACAAAAAATAAACAAAACTCCAAATCTAACAAACAAAATAACTGAAATTAAATATGGCAAAATGACTCAATCGTTTGATAAAAAAATGTCCATTTCTCTTCAATATATTTTTAATGAGACGAACATTAAACGATAACCAAAAACATCCACGACGATGACGATGATGATATTGACGATGACGTCATCCATTATAACAATGGCGATGATGAATGGGAAAGAAACTGTGGTAAAAATATGGAAAACAACAACAATAATAGAGGTGGGTTGTGACCACAGAGAGAGAAACTCCGAGAACGGCAACATCGGTGAGATATACTGAGATGGTTCTCTGCGATTGGTCGGAAAATGTATCAGTGACTGATAAGCAAGGTTTCGGATTGGTCGATAGAAAAGTCAGCGTCTGTTGGAAAAGTGCACGGATGTCCGTTGGCAGCGGGGAACGCTCGCTGGCTCAATTCATTTATCTGTGTTCGGGGAGAAAGAATAAAAAAAAAAAAACAAGTGATTTAAAGTTTTTGCACAAAACACACACACGCAAATTCGATTTAGTTTATTAAATAAAAATAAAGAATTTATTTTTTTCATTTTTGACATTAACTTTATTCAAATGATTTACCATTTTTTTTTTCTTTCTGGCACTTTTTAAGCGCCATTTCATTCTCTCAAAAGTTTTTATCACTAGAATTTCTTTGCAACACGCTAACGTGTAATGAAATCCTCACAGTATTTTTTAATATTGTTCACCTTATCGCTAACATTTTTTGTAGAGATTTATTTACAAACTCTACGTTTCGTTCAATTTCGCAAACCAATCGATAAAATTTAAATAACCTAATTTGTTTGGAAATTACTTCCCGGTTTAATAATTTCTTTAATTTAGTATAATTTTATAAGATTTCATGGTAAACAATACTTTTTAAGAAAATTTTTTTTTTTTTTTCCCCTTTTAACAGCAAAGAATAAATTCTTAGGATTTCTTACTCTTGAGCACGCAACATACAACTGGCTATGCGTAAATATTTCTTCCTGGAGCCAAATTACAATTTTTTTGAAGCGTTTAGCCTTATGATTTGTTTATAGTTCTGGCAAACGCAAGGCGAACTGGAAACTGGATTCTTGTATATAAAACTTAAAGAAAAGATATGCAAAAAGAATATCGCATTTTTATTAAATAAATGTTTATTTTAATTATTAAATTGTTGTTAAAATAGTGGGAATATTTTGTATGTTAAATAATAAAACAATTTTTCCAAAAACTAAACGAAAATTTATTGTACTAAGCTAGTAAAACCAACTCTACTTTATAAACCCTTACCTGTTTGCACTTCTCCCCAAAATTTGCTTTTGATCAGCCAATTTATGGCTATTTTAGAGGGTGTAACGAAGGAACTGAATAACGGAAGTCAGAGTTTTATATATAGATTCTCTGGGTGCTTTCTGATGTCTATAAGAAATTGATCATTTCTTACATTAAAAGATTTTTTTTTTTAACCGGAATAAATTTGAAAACCGGAGTCAAGGTGTAATACTTGCCAAATTTTTTCGCCTTCAAAACAAAATTGAGAGAATTTTTTTTTCTAGGTTTTACCTCAGGGGATTATTAAGTTAAACTGGCTCCAGTTCACCCTGATGATCCTATGTGGTGAAACCTAGGTAGGTAGTTCCTGGCTGATTAGGATTTATTTATTTTACTTTTGCTCTGCTTAGTGTATTGAGCACTCATCGTTTTAACTTATTAATCGCTGAGTTTTTTTTCTTTGTCCCAGAGATTTAAGGTACTGGACGATTCCTTTCGACCTATTGGAGGTTTCTGTTTATTTCTTATATATATATATATATATATATATATATATATATATATATATATATATTAAAGACATTTTTATTTTTTACGTTCTTTTTATAGATACAAGTATTTAAGTAAATGCTCTGTTTATAATAAACAGTATTAAATAACATTTACCGGCCTGAATGTCCGAGAAATTTTCAAAGAAAATATTCGCCCTTTGACAGGATTCGAACCTTAAATACTTGTATCTATAAAAAAAGAACGTTAAACATAAAAATGTCTTTAATAAATAAATTGTCGGACTTTGTCCATTTCTCGAATTATCATATCTGCTCGAGGCATATCTTAACACAAAAAAACGATAACATATATTATGAAATGGACTAAGTCCGACAATTATTTTAATATATATTAATAATATATTAATTATTTTAATATATATTATAATATATTAGTTATTTTAATATATTTATTGTTTATACGTTATTTCTATTGATACAAATAACACACACAAATGCTCTGTTTATAATAAACAGTATTAAATAACATTTACCGGCCTTAATGTCAGAGAAATATCGTAGAAAATATGTTTCCTCCGACAGGAATCGAACCTGTATCCTATAGGGAAACTATTATAATATATTAGTTATTTTAATATATTTATTGTTTATACGTTATTTCTATTGATACAAATATTTATATAAATGTCTGTTTATAATAAAAAGAAATTAATAACATTTACCGGCCTTAATGTCGAAAGAAATATCGTAGAAAATATATATTTTTCTTAACAGGAATCGAACCAAAAAAAATAGGGAAACGTCATTTGGCGTAACGTGCTATGCTATTTAGCGACAGAGGAAGCGTCTGCTTAGCAAAGTCAAATTACTGTTTTTAAACAACGAATTTCCCAGGATTTTTCTGAAACGATATCTGCTCGAGAAAATAAAATGACCTTCCGCAGGTTTTGAATTCAGAGTTT